CCAGGAGACTGTGTTCGTCAGACCTCTAACCATTGACCAACCTGGTATGAGAGACTCTGTGAGTGTCGCGCGGACACCCCCCAGTATAGCTCAGTGGGTCGCCGAGGCACACAAACCGCCACACCACGATAAGGTCCAGTCTCTTCGTGACGGAGCGAAATAAGTACTTCAGAGGACATCATTATGTGTTTTGTGCGGACAGGTAAGAAGCAAGTGGTAAATTAACATAGTGTCGCTCGTCTGGCACAGCCGCTATAGAAGTGCACTTCGTTTTCTCCAGCCGCCATAATAGAAGCAGATACCAACGGAAAGCGACCAGGTGTGTACATTGATATGTCACGTGTACCACATGTGCATGCAAGCGCCTTGAAACTAAGGAAGGAGTGTCGGCTGGATAAACTTGCGCATCGAAGCAACTGCCTTTCAAGTCTTTCAGTGAAAACAAAGTTGGATGGAGTCACTGCATCAGGAGTGATGCCCAACTGCCATGGCACCCGAAGGAAGCCGAGAAACTGCCAGGTTGTCCAGGAGCAGTCGAAATGGGTTCGAATCACGAAGCTCCCGGTCAGTATGTTTGAACTTTAACCAGTGAGCAATCTCGAACTCAGTTGGCAAACAGCAGGCAAAAAATTCATGAAAAGCAGACTACTCACATCAGCAGCAATGCTGACGCTGATAATTTACAACGGTACAACTTTAAACCCCATTTAGTTCCCACATTTTCTAAAATCCTAATGGAATGGAACAAATGAAACGTTTAAGGGACCTATTTCCTTGTACTGTGGACTGTCTACACCCACTCAAGCAATCTGGACTGCACGCATCCACTGACATCCATTATACTCCACATCATTCATCTCGCCGGGCAAATATAGCTCAAATGGGTCCCATCCTGATAAAGAGGTCGCATTAACAGCACCCAGATGTTCCATCACCTCGTGCATACCCTCCTACCAAGTCACATGCTGTCCAACTGTGCAGTTTGAACCAATCTGAAGAAGGCACCAAAGACAATGACGACATGCGTAACAAAAGTACATGTGCACAGAACTACGCGTCCCCAAGGTCACCATCGGTAGCACACGTTCTGGAAATCGGGTGCGTTGGCGGAGTTTACCAAACACGCCTTGGCAGCATGCGACCAGCTGAGTGGGTGTGAAAGTGGTCACGACATCGCCATTGGCTGGAAAGAACGGACAAGCGAATAACCATAATTGACCACTTAGCCCTCCTTTATATCTACGTAGAAGCGCTGTATATCGGACCTGGAAGTACAGCCGTGTCCCGGGTTTTCCGTCTTCTCCTTATCGCGTAGTCTGGCGGTATCAGTTCCGGAGTAATCGATAGACGGCCGCCCACGACACGACAGTCATCCATTATTTACAAGATGTATGTTCTGTTGAATTGGCAAAACGGGTAGTAACAGAAAGTCATGTAGGGTCAGCGGTAATAAACAAGGAGCTCACAAGCAAAGCTCCCACTCAAAATTTCACACGGGGGTATCTCTGCAACCAAGCGACAGCAACAATTATATAAGCTGACATCGTAATTAAGCTGTCGTGCTAACATGCCGAATTCCTGCATCGAACCGACAAATAGGCTGATGAAAACTCGGGGACTACACCTTTCTGATGAGCTCTGAGAAGATCAAAACCGAGTCTAGACTGTAGGAGGGTTCTCAGCGACTTCGTAAGTAGTGTGCTGTGTCCAACCATGCACGTAAACATTCAATATACCATATCGACTGAGCAGCCTTTTGAAACCCATTTAGTTTCAGACTACCATGAGCGAGAGTTTGGGTCAAATCTTCTGAGTGAGTGTATTCGCCAACTGGACATCAAACTGTTTAATGTTTTGAACAGTACGATACAACTTGCTATTTTAGCGGCCAGCATATAAATTGGAGAGTATTTTTATATTCCTCCGTTCCCACACCGTTCAGATGTTTGTCGAAGTCATGGTTCTGGTGAGCAGTTTTACTGCAGGCTCAGTCGCTTAAGTGTCCGACAAGTGACCAGGTGTGTATACGTATCGATCAAAATGTTCTTAGTGGGTTCCATAACTATTGTATTGGAGGGCTCAAAATGCAGTTGGAAACGATGTACAATTTCAGGGCTCACTTGGTAAGCCACCTTGAAAATTTTTACAGTTCAATACAAGAATTTTTTCACGGAGTTTACTCAACTCTACAGTTCAATACAATTTAAACGTTTGCAAGAATTTTTTCACGGAGTTTACTCAACTCCTAATCGACAGATGGCTATTTCTGACTTGTTGGAGCTCAGCACTGCATGGTCGTTGGCTTGTTCGCTGAGCTGGGCAGTTTGGTTGCAAACGTTTCATCACCAATCTAGGTGACATCATCAGTGCGTTATTGGGGAGCTTAGTGGTGCGCAGCGGTGGGTTGGTGATTATGCGCTGAGTAGTGTTACGTGTGTGTTAATATACGTGCTGCTAGCAGGGGATGTCCTTTGATCGCGACTAGTTGTTCGGTCGGGCGGTTCCATTGGTTGCTCCGTTGTCCTGTGTCGCCGATGCCCAAGTAACCTTTGAGCTTGGCATCCCCTGCCGTCGTAATCTGGTCGATACTGGAGTGGCCTTTGTCCTTTCGAGTCCCGGCTTGTGACCTTTATTGATTTGACTCCAAGGAGTTCCTTGTTTCTTTGCGAATCCAATATTCGATCCTCCTTGAGTGTTCCGGTTGAGATGTTGGTCTTTTGTACGTAGGGCTGCGTAAATTGGACCCAGTTCGATGAACCGATCGTTCGAATCTGCCGTAGAGTACCAAGCTTCCAGAAATTCTTGTCCGTGTCTTGTGTCTCCGTATGCCAAAATTTTCGCGTTTTCCGGATTGAATTTGTGGCCTTCTTGGTCTTCGTGTATGGATGTCAAGGACAGGGGGTCTTGTCTCCTGACGGTCGCGTTGTGTTCTTTTACTCATGTACATAGTCTCCTCCCAGTTTGTCCGACGTAGAATTTGTTGTAGTTGTTGCAGTCAATTTGGTATATCACATTGTTCCTCTTGGTTTTGCCCCGGTCTAGAGGTTAATTTTCTTAGAGTGGCATTCAGTTTATGGGCCACGAAGATTCCTTTTTATTGTTCACAAACGAATACGTTCGCCCCCCTATGTTCGACCTTCCACCGCCGGAGAGAGTTGCAACAATTGGCATGGAATTAAATGCAGCTTACAGTAACCGAATTTACTTACTTTGGAAGAGTCGCCAGACTGGCAAAATCTTCGGCTCTGGATAGTTTGTTGTCGTCTAACTGAAGAACCTCCAGCATTGGGAAGCGTTGCTTCACCGTTCTGCATGATATACGAATGGGGAACAGAGAGATAATAAACAATGCACTGGTGATAAAAAGTACCTGACTCAAACAGGAACAAACTCGGCCACGTTAGCAATCAAGATAGATTTTAATGGCTACAGTGCTTTCATCTTGAGTGGTACTCAGAAAGGCGAAAGTGACATTGTCATTCAAGTCTTACAGAGGGCAGTGGCATAGATACTGTGATCTGCTGATTCTCGTTTTAAGGATCCAGAACTATCTCAGGCAGCTAAGAGACCTTACAGACACTCAGACAAAGATGTGTACAAGATATGCAACTGGGCTACAACTGCATAAACCGGGGGACAAGTTACTCGGCTCAACGAACAAACCAAAGACCAAACTGGGATGACAGTGGTCTCAATTTGATAGTAATGTCTAATGTCGGGGGAAGGTAAATCGAACTGTATGCGTGGCTTTGAAAGGTGTTTAGTGGCGGTTCAAAAGTACATTCATTCTAAGAGTACGAATCCTTCACACACCATTTGTCAGAGTATACATGATCCCAGACATGAGATCATAAACCGAAGAGGTTGTTCGGTCTGTTAAAGCTACTTCAAGAGAAGTTGGAAGAAACAAGTAGTTGGGACACCGAGGATACTTATTTTTGACCAAGACAAAGGCGCTTTGGGTTATACCTCCCATTAGGAGAACCAGCTCCGAACGTGAAGGGACCATATAACAGCCAATGGAATGACCGCTTTCGTTGGGACAGATTTCATTGATTGTTCTTCACTCACCCTTGACAGATGGGTTGTAATCTTGTACGCGACAGTGATCAATAGATCAGCCGCTTCGCACTTTCGTTGACTTCTTCTGGTTTGTTCAAGCGCACCAGGTGATCAGGCGGTTAACCAGACCGGGGTTCACGGTAATAAGAAGGCATTAAGGAGACTGTGGTCCACAACATCTTCTAAATCGATTGTCCCCTAATCTATTTCAAACATTTTTTAAAATTCTATCTTGTCTCAGTAACGACCATGTCTTTCTGACTGCTCTCAAGTAGTCTAATTTCCAGACGGACTACCCTTGCAAAGTGCACTGGATGATCTACCGTGCTATTCAAAAGAGATTTCAAGTGATCAGCATCACCTTGATAGCACGTAGCTCAGGAGATTAGGTCACTGACAAAACCCTACCAGCTGTTTAGTCGGAGTCTACAGGTGAAAGGAAAAAGGCCTCCGCTGCAGAGTTGTTTATCAAAAAATGCCAACTGACCCGTTACAGACTATTGGACAGGGGAGCAAACGTTCACGTGCATCTTATTTTAAAAGACGGAACATCCATCTTCTCTTGAACGCGTCTTCTTAAATTTTTCTGGATATTCATTGACGGTTGCTCGAATCCAAGCAAATGCTGCAAAGCGGCTCCACAAATTCCTTTTCAAGAAGACGCAACGCGAATTTGCGAGAAGCAAACATACTACTCGCATGCCTCATCAGTAGTATCACTTTTATACAGGTATTCAGTGGATATGGTATCTCAACTAATCGTATACCAATCTAAAAACGACAAAATGAGTGGCTCTATATCTTGCCTAAGTTTCAAACTATTACCCGGGAGGTTGCGTGTTTGAAACTCCTCCTGAGATGTGCACTGGTGACGATGCAACAGCTGTACAGCATTTCAGCATAAATTGGTCTCCCCTACAGGGGAAATAAAAACGAGAAGTTCAGTGCATACAACATGCTATAGTAACAAGATAAGAGGTAGCGACCTGAGAACTTCTGGTCTCTACAAATCCCAGTTATTCGGAAATGTACAAAGAGCATTGACTACCACTCATGTACAAAGTACTTTTCGCTGTGATGAAACTCAGGATTGACCTCTGATCCTGCCAAACAACTGTCCAGTGTCACATCAGCAGAATTGTTCCTGAAAGCCAGGAACAGTGATTGGGTTCCCATTTTATCCACATATATGTCCAACGCGACGTTTGCTTTCCTAGTGTTCTTCGGGGCTGTTAGCTTAGTCGATCTAAGGTGCCTTCATTGAGTGCCAGCTATGAATAGGAGGCTGCCCAATGGCTGTGCATCGCTATTGCGATTGACAATCTGTCCATCCCCTTACTGTCCCAAAACTTCGCGACATGGCATTATGACCAGCATGCAAAAAAGACTTGCCGTTCTACGAATCCTTATTTGACAGGGGGATTCGACGACTGTTGTTGACACTGTAAAGATTCTTGGAACTTGGAAAGTTGGGATTCTGTCCTGAAAATGAGATCGCTTAAAGGACGAAAGCTCACCTGAACATTTCCGAATCTCTTAATATTATTAGCAATTTCTAAGTAGCTTGGAGCAAAGGCTACTTCACAAGTCGCATAGACTATTCGGCTGAGGAGTCGTCACTCGATGGAAAAATCAATATCTGACCACGTGATGTGAAACTTGTGAGTGAGTGAGGATGCATACTGTCTAACTGCGAGTTAACCAAGCTGCAGCTCGTGGCCGAAAGTTTTAGGTCTCAACTACCAGCACGGAGGGGCTCACAATTCCCTGGAGTTCCGTGAGATGCACACTACCGGTGTTCTCCAATAGGGATTAAACAACTGCTTCTCGGCTTTTCACTAAGTCAGGTCGGTTTTGCAATCCATAATGAGGGTGATAGAGTATCGTAACAATGGTGACCATGACAACCGAACAGTAGGCTTACTGGCCGGTCACAACTCAATGCCTACTCATGCCTTTCAATTTAATAAATACGCAACTATCCAGGACTGTAAATAAGAGATGAGTGAACCTGAAATGGCACAGCGGATCTTTCTCAGAGAAGCTCAGTCACTAATGCAAAAAGTGCATGTGCGAAAAGTTGAGCTTCGCCACTTTTTGCCAGCTCCAATTTAATGTACGCACACAACCTTGACCCATTTTTGGTGAAAACAATTCCTTATCCGCATCTAGGCCCATTTTGTGCAAAACTTTTCTTCGTTCAGATGTAGAACCTTAAATGAACTTTCTGATGCTTTCAACTCTCATTCATGACGAGGAGACGGCAATACGTTTTTTCCGAAGCCACGGAGTGATCCGTCAGCAACGTTTATGCAACAATCGCCACCAAATGACACTTTCAACTGTTTCTGACAGGTGAAGGTGTAATGCTCGACAGTGTCGGCAAAAAATCGGTCTTCGAAAGGGATCTTGACTGGAGTGGTCTAAGATGGAGTTCAGGACAGTAATTCTATTCATTTATTGCTGCTCCAAAAATTTGGTAAAAATCAAATTCTGCTCAGAGGTATTATCTATTATCCACATGACCACTGTTGACTGGACCAACTTTCTTCTCGAAGTTTGCGCCTGGCGGCTTTTGCAGACTCCAACAAGTTATCGGCGGCCCAGGTCTATACGTCGAGATCGATGAAACGCTAATATCTCACCGTAAAAAAGGCAGGGCAAGTCCTTCCCCAGCAGTGACTTTTCGGAAGGATCTGCCGGGAAACTAAAGAGGTGTTCATGTATGCAGTGCCAGATCTAACTGCGGCCACTTGGATGGACACAATCCAGGCCTGCGTCGCTCCCGGCTCAATCATCATATGCGATGTGTGGGCATCATACCAAGGAATCGAAACGATGATTGACATGAATTATACTCATGAAACGGTTAACTATATTGAAAACTTTGTGGATCCAACGACTGAAGCTCTCACCATCGAATCTCTTTGGCACGTCTACAAGATGCAGAATAAACGCCAATGCGACACACACCAATCTTTAGTGGACAACTTCTGTTTGGGAAGTGAATTTGTGCACTAATCAACCGAAAAGTTAGAAACTGCTTGCCACTGGCATAAAGAGACGTGTTTTATATACAGAGATTAAAATCATTGAAGGTTAAAATCATTTTTAAGGTTGCCGAAAGCTCTTCCACTGCTCCCGATCGGTTTCGGCCTTATTAAGTTTCATCGTCAGGTAGGCGCTATTCTCAAGTTTCCGTCAATCTCTCAGTTTTCTTGAATTCAACATGTACGAAATTAGAAAAGACATTCATTTGCACGGTAACTTGTTTTTTTTTCAACCGGGAAACTCGACCAAATCCCAGCCTAATCCCTCATTTATGAAGGGTGAAACCGGTCGTGAACTGTTGAGGAGTTTTAGTCAACCTTGTGAGTAGTGTCACTTCAAAAAAATATGCTGAAAGATTCGGAATATCGCGAAAGTGAAACACGAGGTGACCTTCGTGCTGCACATTCAATTGAAGGGTAGTATAAACGAGAGATTCAGCTGGAATTCAGTTGACTTTTCCGTTAGAACCAAATTGACATGCAAATGAGTGTATTCCTCGAAGTTGTGGATCCTTGAAAGTCATACTGACAGCAAACGTTTGTCGAACCAGGAAAGAAACTATACGCCAACTCCACAAGAAATATATATTCACAAGTAGCCAGGGAGTTCCCTTTCTACTAAGCGCTACTGCAGGCTACAGAAGATCCCTCACGCGAGAAGCGCATGATTTGATAGAGAAAATCCCTCTCACATTCAACTCGCGACAAAAGCGACTAGTTGCTCAAGGTCAAACCAGAGAGTAGGTGAATAGCTGAATTACTTCAGTTGTGACCAGTAAAAAGGGGACAGTTCTCCTTGGAGATGTCCCATCCCAACCACTGTTATAGCTGATTTGATGAGTGAACATTTTGACGGTCTACGGAAGCAGCTTCATGAAGCCAGCCAAAGCTGACAGTGGGAGAGATTTGGTAAGTTTTAAATATATGTATATGTATGATGGATGTAAAAGGCATGGTGTATCACGTATGATGGATGTATGCTGTATGATCTATACTTACAGACATGGAAATCAACATGTCAGAGTGATCGATTTCCAGTTTGTGAAGTTTTTCTCATCGGTATTCAGTGCTATTGTAGATTAACCATGATTCACTTGATCGACCTATCGACACCGAAATAACGAACGGCCTAGTGATCGTAGTGTTTAGAGATACAGAGTTATCCCGCTTAGGTAACTTTTGGTCAAATAAATAGTCACCGGGGTTCTGTGAAGACCGATGAGTAGTGAGGATAAAAACCTGGCTGTCCGCGGGTAGTCAAGTGCCCCAGCAACTTGTTAGGTCATCTGCAGACGTCGCGTTTCAGGTGTCCCGTTCCTGACATTCCTGTCATACCGCCAACTACACAGCGTGAACCACGCTTCAAGTAAGAAATCCAAAGGAAACATGGTAGTTTTCTGAGTAGAACTCACCCATCTTCCTTCAGTTTGGGCTCAGCCAGATCAGGAGGTAAACGGCTGATCCCGTTTCCTGTCAGTGAAAGCCACGACAAATTGGGAAGTAGTCCCAACTGAAGCAGAGCAGATCCTTCCAGAAAGTTGAAGGACAGATCCAAATGCTACATGGGTAGATAAAAACGGTCTTTTATTCATCGCTCATTTTCATATCATTATGCATGGGGTTTTGAAATACCTTTGAATGAATCTCTCGTCAATGTGTGACAAAACGGCCACCACAGAGCTCAGGCCGGTCGACAGTGAAGGTATCAAGTTGCAGTTCGGTAAAAATCCAGTGCCCATCTCGTTTTGTTTGGAGGTCATCAGGTAACCTCAACCCCGGCAGAATGAAACAGTCGTTGAGGACTGATGGGGATCTTGGAGAAAGTGTGGATCATCCAGTACTTAGAAGCAAACCGTTCGCCTGCAGATCTAAAAATGGGCGAAAACTGGTTGTCTGAAATGTGTTTGGCAAATTTTATGTGTTATATTTGTCCGTCCTTCATGAGGTATGATTCAAATGTGGCGTTTCTGTTGTCCGCACGCACTCTGAGTCCGTTGATGATCTCTTTCAAGGGTATACTTGGTAAAAAACACCGCACCTTGGATCAGTGTTTCTAGCGCGACATTTGAACGATAGAAGGTTACTTTTATCGATAAGAAGAAACCTAAGGCTGGACAAAAAGCGGAGCTATTGGAAACGAATGAACTAGAATCGTTGATATACTACTCGTGTGGTTGCTGAAATCTCCGACAACCGATTCCGCTATTCTTGGGGCTCATCAGGTAGACACAATCCGCGAGTTTCCGGCGATCTTGTATTGCACCAGAGCCCAATTCGCACGAAATTCGACTTATACCACAATGTGAAAACCTCTGTGTATTTTTATACGTGCGGCGATCATTTGCACCCCACGTCGTTTCGTTCCAGACTTTTCACTTGTCTAAAAGTGCGTTAGAAGAATGGTTCAATTCTTGGTTAGGAGGCTACTTTGCCAACAAAGCCGGAACAGAGAAAGATTGTCGCAGCAATCACAACCCCTATCAGTGGCAACTGCGGTTAATCATCAGTTGAAGCACCCGGAAGTGGAAGATTAACGAACAAGAGCCGCCCGAAACACATCTGAAACTTCTCCAACCCATCAATTCAAAATTTTGGCAAGCACGCTAGCCGACAATAGTCGTTAATTGACACTCTGCACTGATCTAGTGTGATAATCTACAGAGGACCTACTGATTGGTTCCCCGTCTGTCTTATAACCTGGCCAATTTGGTGACCTGTTCAATTAGCTTCATGAAGGTTTTGTGTCAAAAGCGAAACGTTGTCCAGACAAAGACTACCGATTGTTTGCCATGGTCTTCTGAAACGAGGAATTATCGTGTTTCAAGAACATCTCCGAAAGGACTGCAAGACATTTACAACAAAGCTGAATAACAGTTGCCTTTAAACCAGTAAACATGTTGCGATGAGCCATCTCGAAACCAAAGGGAAGAACGGACTCAGTGCAGAAGACAAAGGAGATCAAAAAAACTTCCGTGTAACAGCTGCGACAAACACCGGGGTGGACAGAATGGAAGGAGTCTTACAACACAGGTTGTTTTGCACCTTAGCGCGTCTATTTTGAAAACATTAGTCTGGTCGGGGTTTTCGCCAGGCTCAAGTGAACTAAAGCGAACCATCTGATCCGGGAAAACTCTCATCTAGCTTCTACCCACTAAACAATGAAAAATGCTTAATGAAAGGGATTTGAACATATGGTGGGTGGGTGTTTCTCACTGTATACACTAATCACCCTACCGGAGAGCAAGGTTCACCGACGTGGGTTGCAGGAGCATGCGATTCCACCGGTAGCAAAGCTTCATCATGCGTGTGTTCTTTCATAGTGGAACCTTTATTGCTTGAAAGTCAAAGATATCACTGGTGAGCCCAAAGAAGTTTGAAACCAGTTCTGGGCTGACAAAGAGTTTTCAGTGTCACGCCTGGACAACAACCTATTGCGATATCTCAAATATCGTACCAGGTAAAACATGAGGCGACCTGGTGCGGCACACTCAGTTGCTTAAAAACATCATAAACGAGAAATCCACTTGGGTTCCAGGCGACTCTACAGTAAAAACCAAATCGGTACGCAGTGTATAAGTAGAAGTCTTTGTTCGATCCTTGGTTTACAGTCCTTAAACAGGCAGCTCTTGGTCACCGAAACATTAGGCTAAGACGCCAGTCCATTCCGTGGGGTGCTTCATGAATGTTACCCAGTGGATAACCCAAACACGGTGCCCGCTTTATTGAGCTTCGAAAAAGTCACATATGGTCCGGAAGTTACCAGTATATTGTGACAGACAAATAATATTTAAGTTCAATATTCTCACCTGTATGTGTTCATCGTAAAAACAGATAAATGCTAAAACAGATTACGCTCCTACGCTCATCAATAGTTGAGCGTCAAAACAATTGTATGATTTCGATGCACAGTTCGAAGAAAACCGCAAGCTCAGACATCAGGTTTTCCACATCAAACAATCTCACCTCCACTAACGCATTACATTTCAAGAGGTGAAAAAGAAGATAATTTTAACCCAGTTATGAAATTCGTCGCTTTCTGACTGGGTCATCCTGACTGGAGATACCTCCTACGGAGGGTTTATGAACCGTTCACCGAAAAAGTTGATCTCAAAAGTTCACTGCTTTAAAATGCAGCCAGCTACATAGTGTTAAAAGCATGTTCAAAACACTAAACGTGTGAACTCCAGCGGCACAATCAGCCAGAGAGAAAAACAACCTTGACGGCCTGTTACATGATTCTAGCACCAAGTGGAGACTGAGCTACCTTCATTGGTTAGCCCGTAACCAATATGGTGCTGCGTGTGTGGTCTTAAAAGGACATCGGCAATGCTGAGGCTTGAAACACTGCACCCCACGTGAACACAAGGTAAAAACCAAAACAGGGCTTCGTCAATCGCATCAGCTGTAACATGGTCAGACAACACAAAACGAATGCTGTCAAGCCTCTTGCGTATAGGTTAGAAGCAAGGTTGAGTGAAATTCATTTATCGAAGAAACCGGGGTAGTTTTAACGTGGCCGCTAAACACTTTGGAGGATAGAGTGGTCGTCTGTGGCAAGTAATCAATAAAACCCTAATGTGAACGACTGACTTTTTGTTTTTCCGTTTTTGACTACCTGTTGGTGCGCTAAACCTTGGCAGATACATCCGTTGTTTCCTGCAGGAGATGAGACCACACTACAACTCTAGGCAATCTAAAGTGTGCTCATTCAAAACTTGTGATTACAAGGGGCGGGATTTATTTAAATGATCGAAAACTACTCATAAGTGGTCAATTTAGGCCAGTTTTCGAGAAAAAAACTGATTATTCGCCTTCTACTAGTCCCACCTTGCATTAATCAAGACGTAAACCGGTCGACCGAGTTTTGTCTGCCCCAGAAAAACGTTTATCTAGAGCATAGGTTACCCAGATAGAGAAACCAACTATTGAAAATGAACCAACGTGATCTGTTCTGGAAGGAATTACATCGTTGAAAGAATTTTCATTGTGTGCTTTTTGAGTGTGTTCTCAGTGCAGAATGAAAATGTTAGTCCTAGCATGTTATCCATTGTATACAATGACCAAGTAAGCTGCGAGCAAAAAGCTCCAGAATTCAACAGACATTCCCAATATGCATGATCATCATCATCGACTGCGTGACATCAATGTTCAACACAGGTGCTTCACTGCCGTACAACCATGATTTACTTGAAAATCTTGTTGTGAAGAAAAGAATGAAAGGTGGACAGCGAATGGACTTAGTGCTAGCTCACTATAATCATTCTGAGGTGTCTACACCTCCAGACACTCATTCAGGCAATCTGGATAGAAACTGGTAACAAAAACGCTACATATGCAGCAAGTTATGATAACTTTTCAGGTGTTGCAGTGTGCAATTTTCATATTTATACTGTATTTAATGACATAAGGTTTCACAATTGTATCACCGCAATTATTCGCTTATGATTGGTCACTTGAACCCTCTACAACACAAAGCAATCTCTCCGAAGAGACCATAAAGGTGGATATCTCCGGCATGGCAGCCCAAGTGAAAATATTTCTCATGGTTATTAGGAAAAAAGCTCTAATAAAGCCATTTTGGTACCTGCTGACGTGTGAAATACGGCAACGAGTTATACAGCAATACCTCTTTTTTTGGAAAGAATTTGTGTACGTGGGACAGCTGTGTCCATCGTTGCTGGGCAGCAGACATGAGTTGGAAGGAGAATCTCATTTGATCTAAAGGTGCGCGACTGAGAAGTGTTCTGCCTTGAGGAAAGACATGTGTACATTGTGTCTGACCTTGTTCCCATTAGCGTAAGGTAGCGCGAAATCAAACTCGGTTGTAACAGACTCACCCTAAGGTTTCCAAATCCATCCGGCCATGGAGAGAGGGTATAAATTTGATTCAGTGAAAGGTTAAGCACCTCCAGCGATTTCAGGCTGTGAAACATGCCTTCATTACAATCAAGATGGTGTGGCCAGATTTACCCATAGATAACACGTTAGTTGACGCATTAATCACGTCGGCAGAAGCTAAAACGAATTGGTCTTGCTCCCACAGGTCCAGTAAATTCCTGCACGAAATATCGACCGTGCGTAAATTTGCTTCTGTCATGGCAGGTTGATTCACCTATGAAGTATATAGGCTAAAACAATAGAATACAATTTGGGTGAGTTTTTCAATCTTGAGTTAAGAGGATGAGGAAGTTCACTCCAAAAACCTGGAGGAATGCGACAGAATGATATCACTGGTCATCTCTTTTGGTAATGTGACCAAGGTTTTCAGTAAAGAACATCGCCCAGCAAAGAGCGGTATAGCGTTTGTTCAAACCTTCAATGAACTGAGGAACTGATTTAACTGTGAGCGCGAGGTTGTAAAGAGAGAAACTCAAACAGTCATCCATATTAACGAACCACATCGGTATAGACGCGCTTTAAACCCTGAGAAGATTTTAGATGACGGGTTCCTTGCTC